CCGCCCCACCCCGCGCAGCCCCGCCCCCGCCCCGCCCTGCGCGCCGCCCGCTCCGCGCGTGTGCGCCACAGATAGGGAGGGACGGAGCGCGGTGGTGCGCGGGGAACGTGGACAATGCGCACGGCGCGGCCACCGCCCCGCCCGATGCGGAGCACATGGCTGCGGGCCCGCCCCGCAGCTGTCTGCCGCTGGCTTCCCGAAGCTGCGGGGCCCGGGCGCGCTCTGCGACGGTGACTGGGGCGCTGAGAGCTGGCGGGAGGGGCTCCCGGGCCGCTGTCGCCAAGAACTTTGGGGGTGGTTTCCGCTTTGTTCTGGCACACGGGCCACAAGCGGGTTATTGCCCACGCGGCGGGGGCGGCGGTGGGTGGTGGGAGTGAGGAGTCGCCCGGCGAGAGGCCCTAGACAGGACATTAGTGGAAATAATGCAGTGGTTGTCAGGAAAGGCGAGTGCAGCCACATTGCTACTGCCAGTTCTGCAGCGAGGATATCCGGTGGCTGCAAAGTCTGTAATTTAGAATAAAAAGAGCTCTCCCAAGACCCGGAGGCTGACCTCAGCGCCGCGTGGCGGTGGGACGCCCGGCACCCTCCATGGAACCGGTCCAGGTTGTGACAGGTGGGGAATCCTCTTCCTAGGGGATTTGTCGCTTTAAAGACCCTGCACCTACTCCCCTTTGGATACCTATTACAAAATTTAGCCAGCCTCTTCTGAAACCTGGTTGGAGTTGAGGACGTGATCAGTTGTCTGTCTCTAACATTAACAGAGTAATATACGTGGTACTTAGAAATGTGTTTTCTAGCCCCATTTTTTGATGCCTGTAACCAAAATGCATGACTAAGATCCGAGGTCTCTTTTAAGTTGATATCATGCCTTGCCAGAGGTATAGCTAGCAAGAGTTTATTCTGAAATCTATTTGCACAATCTGGAAGTATTGTCAGTCTTAAGATATTTTTCATTAATTTGCTACTTCCAAAGTAACTTGTATGAAATTCAGAGAATATGAACAGTATGGAATAGAGAAGGGGAGTGCCCAGGGCACACCTGTCTGCTTGCGTTGATCCTCTAGTTAATTGCTTCTGGTGCCTTAAAGTCTAGACAATGGAAAAGCAGTGGTCGGATAGCAGGACAGATGCGGAGAAGGACTAAACCAATTATGGATCCTCTCCCTCCCCAGGACGTAATACAGTACTGTGAACTCAGTCTCACGCAGTCTGGGCGTAACTCTAAGCAAGGTTAAATAGCCTAATTGCTCCGCCAGAACTCAACATTTAAGAAGATTAGCATAAATATAAGCCCTCGATGTGGAAAAAAGTCATTTTGCATTATCCAACTCAAATTCCTCCAGTATTCTGTCCTTTGCCTTTTTTCTCTGTTGCCTGCCAGCATTACCTTTCCTTTGCGAGGCTGTCCACTCCCAACCCAGCTCGGCCCTTTTTTCTCTTCATTTCATTTCTCTAAACTCGTATTTGCCTCTAGGACTCTGAAGGTCTTTCTTCTACTGTGTTAAGGGGGCCTCTTATGACAAGAATACTTACTTGCACAGCCCACTAGGCAGTAACTGCTCCTTCAAAGTTAATTTTTACATGAAAGTTCCCTCATTGGCCTATTTATTTACAACATGTATTTTTAAGTTCTATTACGACTATATTACTCGGAAAGGAAAGCAAGCAAACATTGACAGCATAGCAGGTTCGCAGTACAAAACTTTTTGTTCTTACTGATTTTTAAGATATTTTACTTTTTACTCAAAGTCTTCCAAGCACTAACCAGTATCACAGAATCAATGGAAATGGCTTAAAAGATAGAGGAAAATTGCTACGGATCATATATAAATGAAGCTCTATTTTGCTCTTCTACTGAACCTTTTTAAAGACCAGCTTAAGTTTTCGAGCTGTGGTCTCGTGGACTTTACAAAGTTGGTAATGCTATTTGACTGTTGTTCAAAAAGCCAAAAGCGTGTATCTGCAGTGCCATGGGGTTGGAGAGGGACACAGGATTACACAGCTGTCTTCTTAGATAAATCCGACCTACTTAGCCTTCTCTGGAGGTATTTTTCATGCTGACTCACGAACAACAGGAAAGTTATGGCCCATTAAGTAGCATCCATGTTTTGAAGTAAACTTGTTCTCCAGAGAAGACTCCTGTGTCATTGGTGCTGTATTTCCATTATTCCCCTGTGGATAATAGATATTCTGTTAGAGCTGGAAAAACTTTGTCTATTAAATAATAGCCTAAATGCCTCATTTTGCAGAAGAAACTGAAGCCTGGAAAGGATGAGAAATATCCAAGTTGTGTAGTGGCAGAGTTATGGAGACGTATGTATGAAATAATATTACCCGGAAAAAAATTAATGTAAACATGAACTAACTCGATATGCAAGTTATATGAAGAAGAGTAAAGCGTGGAAGAGACACTAAGGAGATATTTTACTGGAGTATATCAATTTTTAAAAATTTTTTGAAGGGTAATTGGGTTTATTTATTTATTCATTTATTTTTTTTAATGGAGGTACTGGGGCTTAAACCCAGGACCTCATGCATGCTAGGCACACACCCAACCACTGAGCTATACCCTCCCCTCCCTGGAGTATATGCATTTTAAATTAGATCCGTATAAGTTTAAATGATCTTTTGTAAAATCACACCTAAAATTGACAAATCTATACTTATTTTAAACGTGCCAGATGTTGACCATGCTTTTGACTTACTTTACTCTTGTTCTTCTTTTCTTAATTAGTACAGATGAAAACCAAGCAAGTTTATAAATGTGAGTTATATCTCAACACAGCCTACATAAAACTGACGGGGTGGTGGCAAGCCCAAATCACTTACCTCTGATCTAGAGAAGATTCAGCACAGCAGGTCACAAGGTGGTTGTGAAGACTTTGAGATAACGGATGGTAAAGCACCTAGTATAGGGACTGAGTAAATGCTAGTAACGGTATTACCATGCGTTTGCATCGTGGGACTGTGCCAGAATGCCATGAATCCTGGTGGGGTTTTTTCTTATTCTTTTTTTTTTAACATTCTTTTTTATTGACGTATAGTCAGTTTATGATGTTGTGTCAATTTCTGGTGTACAGCATCACGCTGAATGTAGTAGATTTGATACGGACGTCATATTACCTATTCCTGTCTTATCTCTTATCACTCAGACATGCTGGAAATGGGAGTGACTGATGACAGTGCACATGAAACAGCTGTTTTCTAGCTCATCTATGCATACATTTCGGGCCTCACCCCAATGGAGACAACAAAGTTGTTTCATCAAATCTCCACCACCATCATTGCTGGGATGCAAGCGTCATCCTTGGCTGGGAGGAGATCCTCAGAGGGAGGGTTCTTGAGCATGGCAGAAACCTAGGGATTATGGGCAGGTCCTCTTGAGATGCAAACTGCCCCCTTGACTCAAAGGGACTCTTCTTTAACTTTCTTCTGTTTCATCTCATCTCAGGAAGCCTCAGTCATGTGCATCAGATAAGTGTTCTCGCCTTTCTTTCTCAGACAACTCTGTTGTGTTAAACAATTGTCCTTTTCTGCTCTGGGACCATCAGACAGTTTAGGGGGAGAGGCAGTATTCATAGCTAAAAATAGTCATCTTATTATGCTGTACACCAGAAATTGAGACAACATTGTAAACTGACTATACTTCAATTAAAAAAAGAAAAAAATAGTCATTTTTTCTCCACTTTTTTTAAACTCATGAAACTACAACAAAAAGGGTAAATTTGACAGCGTATAAATTTAGTTGATTAAATTCAAATTTTTAAATTAGATCACTTTTTTAAAAATTAAAGACAGTTTTTTAAACATGATTATTCTTTTTTTTTTTTTCTATCTCTGTAGGCTAGGAGGTAAATGAACACAGTAATGCTTTGCACTCAATCAGCAACCGTAGCCTGTTTCAATGTCCCAAAGTTTAATTAACAGAACAGGGAAGCTGCCCTGAACTGAACTCAACACTTTGGAATAAACATGATTATTCTTGTTTATCTCATTTGGCATGATAACATGAGATCTACCTTCTTAACAGATGAAGAGTTCGGTACAGTATTGTTATCTACAGGCACCATGTTGCACATGGTTTCCAAACCTTATTCATCTTGCATAGCTGAAATGTATACATATTGATTGGCAACTCCCCCATTTCTCCCTCCTCCTAGCCTCTGATAACAACCGTTCTGCCTCTCTTTTTTTAAATTGTATTATTTAATCTTACATACTTTTGGAGGGGGTAGGTAATTAGGTTTATTTATTTATTTTTTAAATGGAGGTACTGGGAATTGAACTAAGGACCTCGTGCATGCTGAGCACACACTACTGCTGAGCTATACCCTTCCTCCTACCATTCTCTTCTTTGCTTCTACGAGACTATTTTACATACCTTGTATAGTGTAATCAGGCAATATTTATCCTTCTGTGACTAGCTTGTTTCACTTAGCAAATGTCCTCAAATTTCATCCATGTTGTTGCAAATGGTAGGATTTCGTTCTTTTTCTGTTGAAGTGCATATGTACAATGTGTCTTTCCAGCTTATTTTATACCCAATAGTTTGTACCTCTTATTTCCCTCCTCCCTTCCCTCTCCCCATTGGTACCCACTAGTTTGTTCTCTATATCTGTGAGCCTGTTTCTTTTTTGTCATATTCACTAGTTTGTTGTGTTTTTTAGAATCCACATATAAGTGCTATCATACACTATTTGTAGAGACAAAAAATTTAAAGAGAGTCTAGCATGTGATTTACACAGGATGCCTTAAGTGTGGTCCTGCTACATGTTTAATGATGATTAAATGAATGTTACATGAATGGAGTAAAAAAAAGTCACCTTCCCAGCCTCCTTTGCAACTTGCTTGCTAGTTGGTCTACTTCTGGTCCATATGATGCAAACAGACTTGTACTGGCATGGCTTCAAGGAAAGCTATTTTCCTAATGAAGAGGAATAGACTCAGCTAGGACAAGAGTTTTGCTCCGTGTTCTTCTTCCTGCTGGAATATAAGATGTGATGTACAAAGGTTTGGCAGCCATCAGACAAGCCTGAGGAAGAAAAGTACCTGTTGAGGATGGTGGATTGGAAAGGCAGAAGTCTGCATCCTAGAAGAATTAGGAAATGCTAGTTTCCCTTTCAACATCTTGTTTTGTAAGCAAAAGTAATCCCTTCTTACTGTGGTCAAGTTTTCTGTTACTCACAGCTAGAAACAATCCCAAGAGAGAGAAGGGAAAAAACCAACACAAAAGTGGAAGTAAACAATAATCATTAACAATAACCAATCTCAAAGATATTAACAGAATGCTCATATAACAAGAAGAACTAGCAAAGTAATACTCGGTTTATTTTACAAGTGCAAATTCAAAGCACTTTCGTGCATTGTTTTATATCAAATTTGCAAAATAAATAAAAGCAACAAAAGTAAATACAGATTAGACAGCTGCAGAGAAACAGTGCTTATCTCTTAATAAACTAGTTTATTCTCCAAGGGAGAGTCTACTGTCACCAGAACCATCACTGCAAGTCTGTTTGAGTGGTGTACAGCTATGACTACCACCTGTGAGATTTTCTCTACCTCCTCAATCTGCTTTGCAGCCACTTCCTTCTATACCCAGCCTTTGAAAGTAAGAGGATCCGATGGCTTGGTCCTGGATACCCTCTCTCTCTCTCTGGGCAAACTCATCCAGCCCTATGTCTTTAAATGTCTATAAGCCAGTGAGTCCCAAGTTATAATTTTAGCCCTATCCTGAAGTTCCGCGATCATCTATCCAACTGCCCACTTGCCATCTCTACTTGAATGGCTAATAAGCATCTCAAACCTAGCATGTCCGAAACTCTTGAGTCCGCCTACCCAAACCTGGTACAGCCCCACCCTTCCTAACTTCCAGTCCTTGGCAACACCATCGACCCAGTAGCTCAAACCAAAAGCCCAAGGAGTCATATTTAATTCCTCTTTCCTTTCCACCCTTTAGATCTCTCCACAAGTCCTGTGGTCCTCACCTCCAAAATAGTTCCCATACCTCTCCTTTCTTTCTGGACTGCTACCTGGACGGATGTGAGCGCCCCATCCCTCACGTAGACTCCTACAACTGCCCTCTACCAGTCTCTCTGCTTCAGCTCTCACCACTTGTATCTCTGCTGTGCAATGGCCAAACTGATCTTAACACAGAATTCTTATTAGGTGTAAAACACTACATTGGTTTCCCATACAATTAGAATGAAACCCCGACTCCTAGCCTTGTCCTACAAGGAACTGTGACATCTGGCCCTGCTCCCCTTTCTGGCCTCATCTACTGTCTTCCCCTTGATAAGTGCTCTTCAGCCCGGGGAGCTTTGTGTCCTCCAAGCTCATTGGGCTTGACCCCCATTGAGGGGCCTTACTTGGCCTTATTTTACATGTTAGAAACTGAGACTGGAAGGGTCAGTTGTTCATCTGGAGTTAGAATTTGGACTCTAATTCTACCACACTATACTGTCTCTAAAGATAAGAAGCAAGAACTCACTTGGAAACCCATTTGTCTTCATGTTTTAATACTACTTATTTTAGGATGCTTGTAAGCAGGTTGGAATAGTCTATGAAGACCTAGCTCTAGCCGTTAAGAAGAAGTTACTATTGCACATATCCCTACAGAGCATAAACCTCTTACACACTTTCCAGGCAATAAACTAAGGTCAATATGAAATCCACTAAAATCCATCATTTTTCTTCTGAGTCTCCGCGCTTTGGTACAGACAGATCTTTTCCCTCTGCTGACTTTTGAACATACTAGTTTATAGTCTATTTCAGCAAGTTGTTTGTGAAAATCTCAAAAATAGTGACTGCCTTAAGTTAGTTGTTTGTACTTGTTATTAAAATGTTCTACTTGGGGATCCAAAATGTAAACCAAAGAGTAGAATTTATTTTTCTCTTCCTTGTTGTTGGAAAAGTTAAAGAAGTATATTTCATTCAGAAATTTGGCGAGAATCACAATTCTGTAAATTGAGTCGATTTCTTGGTAGATGATCTTGGAAAAACTGTTTTTTAAGGTCCTTTAAAGTGGGGACCCATGAAACAAGACATCTGGGAAGCAGTAATATAGGAAGTAGTTTTTCAGCTCCATTCAACAGTCTGAAGTGATCCATTGTAAGCTTCCGCTTCTAGAAATAATGATAATCTTCATATAGTTCTCACGTCATGTCAAATCCTACCCTAAGGGCCTTGCTTATATTAAGTCATTTAATCCTTCCAGCAAGCCTGTGGGGTGTAGGTACTATTATTATCCTATTTTACAGATGGAGAAGTTGATGCACAGATAGGGGAAGTATGACTGCCCAAGGTCATAAACCAATAAGGTGCAGAGCTGAAATTCAAACTCAGGCTGGCTGTCTCCGAAATCCACATTCTTCACCACCAGAGCAATACCGCCATAGACCCTCATGTGAATGGGCAGTGATGTAATGGCGATCACTAGAAATGTAGGCAAAGCACAAGGGAATTGGGGACACTGAATGAAGGCCATCATGGCACTAAGAAAACTAACAAATCGCTTTTAAGAGGATGTCAAGCTGGTATAACTAACTCCAGGTCATGGAATGGGTCATGGTTCCAGAAAGAATGGCATGCTTAGTTTTGGAAATGGGTCTGTCTGGGTGAGGTAACCCTAATGTAGGGTTATGAATATGAATTAAGACATGTGAACCCATGTTGCTGTCGGACCTCCCCAAATTAATACCCTCCATCAAGTCCCATAACTAGAGCCGATCCAAAAGTTGCATAGCAACAATTCTTATCTGACTTGCCCGTCTGAACAATCTAACTGCAATTTTGGAAAATGGGTTTCACAACCTTGAACGAGGCATTCCACCTCCTGGGCCTTTTTTCTTGCCTAGAAACTAAAGCCCTAAAGTAATCTGACCTCTGAAGTCCTTTCCACGTCTAATGTTGAATGATTTTCTGGCCAGACCTGATGGCTTGGCAGGTGGAAGCCTAAACTGTTTTTATTCATCATTTCTTACAATTCCAAAGTCCACTGAGTAAAGCAACTTCACGGCTTCCTGAATCTGCGTGCTTTCGGATTACAATCGTGTTAAGTTTGGCACTTAAAGTTCAAATAAAAAGCTGCCAGGTCAGCAGCAGAGAGCCAGATGTCCCAGTTCCCAGGTGATAAGGGGCGGGGGGGGGGTTCTGTTTTTCTGTGGCTCAGCCAGGACTGCCAGGCTCTGGCCACTGGCTAAGCTACAGTCCGTGGAACCTAGTGTCCTGTCTGTGGGGCCTGGGCAACTCACCTAACCTCTCTGTGCCTTAGTTTCTCACCTGTAAGATGGTAATGGTCTACCTCAACAGCTGTGGCAGAAAAGTGAGTCCAGAGACACAAGCCCCTAGAGGAGTGGCTGGCCTATGTTGCTTTGTTGCAATTGTTTCCTGTATTAAGGTAAACAAAATGAGACCTTGAAGGTCAACCCAAAGAGTCTGTGGGACCACAGCAACAGGAAACTTCAGGTGATGGCCTGGAAAATGCTTCTGCGGGTCAACCTTAATGCCAGGCCGTGTGAACCCAGTGCCCTCGTGCTGTGAAAATGCTCCACTTCAGTGCATCCGCTGAGACTCGTGTTTCACTTCCAGGCACACAGGACAGTAGAGGGCTTCTATTTTCCCTCCAATTGCAAATAAAACTGCCCACCACTTGGAAAAGGAGCATCTTGCGGAATACCCGATCTGGATGATCAAACACAACACGCTCACAGGGGACAGTGACTGCATCATGCGAAACTCAGACCTCCCGACACCTGGGTCTAGAAAGAAGCTGCAGACACGTGATCGGGGTGGGCGTTCGGTGCGGGGGGGCGGGGGGGGCGGTTCCACCGCGCGCGGAACTTGTTCCCTGCATCTCGCATCCCTGCGGCACCCTGGCCGCCTGGGCGGCGAGCGCAGGAGAGCAGGCCCTAGAAACCAGACAGGAGGCAGACAGAGGCCGGGAACACAACCTGAGCCAGTCGGCCGCCAGCGAGAACCTGGCAGGGGGAGCAGGAACAGGCGCAGCGCTGAGGCCTGAGGAGCCCGGGCCCGCGGGAGGCCAAGGGGCAGAATCACAAACAGCGGGGTGTGGACCTCGCGCAGCGGCCGCCGCTGCTGCAGCCAAGGGGCTGCAAGGAAGGCCTCCAGCATCAGCCAGTAGCTCTTCAGAGCCGTCTGGATTCCCGGAAAGTAGGGAGAGGCGCATGGTGGAGTAAGAAATCCGTCTAGCTCTAGGGGGCCAGATTCAGTCCCAGCTGGCTGTGCCCCTGGCTCCTCCCCGGGCCCTGTTTCCTCTGTGAGCATCTTCAGCCCGGAGCTGCTGCAAGTAAACGACTGGCAGAGCTGAAGATCCGTAAATTGGTTAGCAGTCTTCGGCAATCACTTGTGTGTGAGGAGAGAAGAATCTAGACTAAAGCAGTAATAGCAACTTTGCTAAACAGAAATCAAGAGATCCCCCTCCCGCACCGCCCCCCCCCAGTGTGTAGGCAAATTCTTTTGTCAACCGGACAGATCTGAAGAAATGACCCCCACCCACTCCCCTTAGAAATTATTTTTGCTCTCTACTGAAGATCTCTTCAGTCCTGAAAATGTTTATTGCTAGGTCAGCCTTACTTAGATTAAGAAAACTCTGCAGTATCATTTCATGATGATTAAGATGACATAATGACAACAGCCAAAAAGCGAATCATAATAAAACCCAGGGGTGGGAAAGATTCCAAGAAGCCCACTCTTATCAATGCCACAGACAGGACGGGTTGGTACTTCTTCTGGAAGGTGGCCTGATTACAGAATTAGAGACATAAAAATGGCCAGATCTTTTGCCACAGTAATATTCTTGGAAATTTATTTTGAAAAAAATCATTTTAAATGAGAGATACTTTGCAAGCTACTTATGGCAATGTTATTTGTAGTAGCTCTAAACTGGAAACACCCCAAAGAAATCCAAGAACACAGAAATGGCAAAGATAATTAGGTTAGATACAGTGACATGTATATATATATGGTTTTTAAAATACTGCACAGAGGAAAAGGTACATTCACATGAGGTGGGAGTGAAACGGATGTCCAGGCAACAAAATTGGGCAAGGGTGGAGGACAGTGTTTAATTCAGGCAGAACGTGGGGTTCATGAAGGAAGAGAGGAGGTCAGGCCCACTTGGAAGGGTGTAAGTGCTGGGATCTGCACAGATGAGGCGTGTAGATTTCAACAAAACCAAGACCTGAAAAACTCAGGAGTCACAAACAACTGGATTGTAGGAGAGAAGGTGGGTGAGGGGTGAAGTCAGTAACCTCCGTGGGCAAGGGGATCGGTGGCTGGACTTCTCTCTGCCCCTCTGATGGGCAGATAATCAAAATCAGCTCTGAAGCCGGAGGCCGGTATGCAGGTTGGTGGCTTGGAGGGAGCAGGGCTCTGAACAGGAAATGGCTAAGACGGTCTTTCTAGTTGTCAAAGGAAGTTGATGTAATGAAGACAAGACTCTGGGAAAATGTGGCTCAATTATTAAGCCCAAACAGTTCAGATCACCGCTGAAAAACAAGCCCAGGTGGTATCTTAAAAAGGTAAGAGGTTGAGAGAATTAGATGAAATAACGTGTGTATACACCTGAAACTAACACTGTAAATCAACTACATTTCAATTAAAAAAATTTTTAAATATGTGTAGACACTCTGCCAACTGAGAAATGCTTTATAAATACTTGCTCTGAAGACCAGGGCTTTACTCAATGAAAAAGACTGCAAAGTTAGCCGGTAGGTACATTAATCCTAAATCAATAGATGACTTTATATATAAATTCTTCCAGCTCTAGTTCTGAACAAGTAATGATAAAATCATATGCTTGTATCTTAGCCATTTAAACAGACTGACTCTTTTCAAGGGATTTCTGGTGATCTCTAAGCTAGCCATAATTAAACTGATCACATGAATCGGTGAAATAGCCCCAAACACCAGATCAACCGTAATTGGTTCAATGATTTTTGAATTCTGAATATTTTAAATCACACGAACACTCATTCATTCATTCATTCATTCATTCATTCAGATCAGCCTGGAGAGGCACGGTGCGTCTGTATAAGCAGGGTAAAGTAAGGCAATAGAAAGGTATGGAACACTATAGACTTTAAGAAAAGAGAAATATGAAAGTAAGGCTACGTTATACAGATTGTCCTTTCTGCTGATCTCAGTGAATAAATAACTGAAATTTTTGCAAAGAACAATATTTGATCTTTCTTGCTTGAGCTTAGCATTTGGCTTCATCAAGCTTGCTGAATTATGCTCGCTGCGTGCACTTAACACGCACTTACATGTTCCCTTAATGTTTGACTCACCAGGGCCAAGAGTCAGCTTCTACCTCATGCCTCAGAGATATCAGGTTTCAACTCTTGATGTCTGAATCTAAACACCTCCCCCCAACCCACCCACCCCCTGTGCCTTATAAAAATGAAAACTTTCTTTTGATTTTCTCCTTGTGACCACTGGGGTCTAGGGCTATTTTCTTTCTCTACTGTTGTTAAACA